AAAGATTTTGAGTTTTAAATAATTTTTCTTGTTGTCCTTAGGTGATGCCCCAATTTGGTTCTGATGGTGGCTTTGGATGGCTGACTGGAAAGAAGTTAACGAATCGCAATGGTTGAGATTTTGAAGATTCAACTTCATCATTGAAGATTTATCAGGTAAGGACTTTCAAGAAAAAACGAAATCTTTCATCAAAGTTATCGATGAATTTGATTTCATTTTGAAAGACCTTGGGTGGATGCAAAACGGTCGGTAGTGAATAGTCAGCACAAAAACAATTTCAATGAAATTGAGTAATGTTGTCATTTTCACGTGCCACTTATGACCATTGCCCTCAAAATGCCTTCGGCATTTGATTGTGGTTCCTTTAAGGCCAGGATTGGCCTATAGGACCTGTCCTTGATCTCTGATGATGATGATGGTGATTTCATTTTGTGTAATTGTTCGTAAGTCCCATTCTGTGATATTTAGATGTAGTATTCAAAGTAATAATATAAAGTAGCGGACTTGATTGACCATAATTATTCTTAAAAGTATTAATTGTTTTCCTGTTGCATTTAAAGTAAAACGATGATAATAACTCGAGCGGCACAACTGCTCCACATGTATGCATGAGTTTTATCTTTTATAAAACATCTTCCTCTTTAAGAAAAATTCAGCATAACTTCTTTGACTTAGCCAAATTCGAATTTCGCAATGAATCGATCACGTTAAAAGTCGTCTTCAGTGTTGAAGATAGTAACATTGAATGCTGGAGGCAACAGGACATTCTTGAGTGGCCTGCAGATGATTGATTTGTTGATATGCTTTATCCAATTTTCTTTGAGTATAAAGTTCCTAACCCACAATGCTGTGTAAACATTATCGGCATGTAAATATGCGATTCCATTATAAATCGCAGGCAGTCTTCTTATTGACAATTCATCATCAAATGATTCTTCACCTTCAATATTGTTTTCTTCTCCTCCAGACTTATTGTTTTTGTTGTTGCTTTTCCTATTGTTGCTGTTGCTGTTGTTGATCTTACTGGCTTCCGCTCGTGCTATTTGTTCAGCTTTTTTTTCTTTCATTGTGTTAAATTCGTTGAAAGTATTGTTTAGAAATTTAGATATGATGACCTTGTCCTCCAGCCCAATAGTTTGATTAGGATACTTTTTCGGGATAAAGGCAACAAGACATGAATCATCATCTTCTCTGTATCTGGCATCAATGAAGTTTAATTCATCTTTTGTGCAAGTTTCAAACAAAGGCACTTTAGGAATAATTGGTGAGGAAGTGTGAATCTTGTTTCCATCATTCGAATCATCAGCTGTCGTATTAGTGTCGACTTCCATGCTCTCATCATCATCAATTAATTATAAATGATAAGCATGATTAAAAATGATCATAACAATTTTTGATTTTAACATTTTATATAGATATTCAGAAGTATCTAGTACATTTTTAAATGTTTTAGTTCAATGTCCACTTGAAATAAAACGAATTCTGAAGCAAAATGTCACCTGAAATCAAATAGTTAAGATTCTAAAATTTTAAAAATGATAATACTTATTTAAATTTCTATGAAAACATGTAAGTAGATGTTGTAGAAAATATAAAAAATATAATTTCGTAATATGTAAAATTATTTAAACTTTTATAAACATTAATATTCATTTGTACCAAGATTTGAACGATTGTGGTAGCTTCAAGAAATGATTATTTAATGTTTTATTTTAATATGGCGTTCGAGACCTGGTTGCCGCTGAAAGTGCAGTCCACATGTTAGGCATGTTCGTTTCCTGATTACAGTTTTTTGAGATTCAGCTTCTGATTCTGATGATTTGTTATCCTTGAGATGGATGGAAGAACTTTCAGTCTTCTTATTTTCTGTTGAACCTTCAGAACCGGATGAACCTTCAGTTTCTGTTCCTGATGGAAGATGATTTTCATAATTTAAAAATTTAACGCAAAAAACCTTACAAAAATATTCAAAATAATTTTCGTACTAGAATATTATCAAAGCTAAATGCTAAAAAATTCGCCATCTTCTCGTTCTTAAAAATAATTATTTTCAAAGCAACCATTTTAGTGAAGTAAATTTTATTAATTTCGTTAGGTAATTTGACCTATTTAATTAAACTTTTGACAAAATATTAATATTAACATTCATCCACATGTAGTTAAGTTCGATTTTCAACTATAACAATCAAGTAACACGAAATATTCATCATCATTTATTTCAAAGACTCTTAAAGGTGAAAAAGCATTCATGTGAAAATTATTAGACACTTAAACAATTATTTTTCATTTAGATTATCATTCAATCGCATACAAACCATTCACACAAGATCCATTCATACTTAAACAGAAATTCAATTCTGAAAGGTATTGCATTTAAAATTACAATTTAAAAGAAAGTTTTCATGCAACAAAACATTTTCCTCTTAGATCTTGTGAAACCACAAACATTCAAAGCAATCGAAACAGAATTATCTAAAAATATAAAGACCGAGAGTGGTATGTCATATTAATTATTAATGTCATTCTTGATTTTAAAGTGTATTTTTCTGTTTAGGTCTTTTTCAAATTTATTATTCTGTAAACTTTTAACATCTGATTGTAATTTGGGCTGTAAATAAATGCGATTAAATAAGAAGTCATCATTTGCATTCATCTACATCATTCGCATTCAATATTAACCAGCACCTAGCTAGGGAAGTGACTTTCCCAATCGTTCTATTACGAACAGTTTCCTTGTTCACGATGTCAACGATATGTGAGTCTTTATCTGATTTTCCATTTTTAAATTCATTCAGTTTGCTTCGAATCAATTCAAACTCGACGATTTTATTTCTGCACTCTTCAATTTCTTATTGTTTTTCATTGACAATCTCGTTATTCCCTTTGGCTTCAGCTCGCATCTCAATATTCACTTTGTTCTTACCAATCATGTCATGAGTTTTTTAATTTGATGTTTGCCCATACGCAAAAATCGTTCCATTGTATTCTTTAAACGCTTTCATGACGATTGGTTTAGCTGGTGCAGCTGTCGATCCAAAGACATGTTCGAATTGCAATGCTTGCTTGTTATCCACTGACTTGAAGCGTTTTCAACCTTCTTTTCGACACGATTAATTTTGCGAACACAGAATCAAACTTGAGTTGAACTGTCTTATTAAGATCCGTCTTAAGATCAGCAATTTGTTTTGCGAAATCCTTCTGTTGTTCGCCAAAATCATCCAATTGAGATCGCATCAAACTTACAGATTGATCAGTTCATCAATTTTTTTATCTGCCATCTTGCTCACAATGAGAAAACAAAAGGTGAATGTTTAGCGTGATTCTCGTGGTTTTTTCAGTCGTAGCATACATTGGACTCTGTTCCGTGGTAAATAAACCGACTCTCGTCCACACGAACTCCGATATATCGGAAACCTTGAATACCCCGAAACCGTGATACCCGTCCCGAACACCCCCCTTTTCGTTTAATTTTTAATTTTTAATCACCCTGTTTGTATTTCCTGGTAAGAAACATCGAGGTTTAATAATATTTAAAAAAAAAGTGATTATTTCGTGACAAAGTTACCATGTCGCATTCTAAACCGTAAGTATTACCTTTTTTTCATGTGACTCATTTGTCGTTTGATTGAAAAATTGTATAAATTTGCCACAATTTTACTCCTTCTTTCTCTCTTTTTTTCTTTTTTTTGGAGGTTACTCAACATTATATTGAGTTAAAATCCCACTCATATTTTGATGTTTTCTTTTCAGAAATCGTTCTGGTAGAAACTCGCCTACTATTGTTTCCCATTTGCGTACACCGTGAATATTTTCTTGTGTTCTTTCCTTCTGTTTTTTTCTTTATCTCGTGCTTTCTTGTTTTCTTTTAGAATTGAGGTTGATTTATTTTTTCTGACTCATCAAAATACTCTTCTTGAAGACATCCCTCGTGTCGAATTAACAACGCAAGCTGCTCACGATCGTTTCAATCTCCTTTTGGCTAAACGCCGGCTCTCAGTAGCCACTCAGGCCGGTGATGAGGGCCTGTATGAGTTTATTGACCGCCTCATTAATCTTGCTCGCACCGCTAACATTCCTCGAAACGATCCATTAGTTTCAAGATCCTTTTATCGTGGTGCTAGCAATCGTCAACTTGCTTTGCTTGCTTTTCACTTATTTGTTGAAGTTTTGATTATAAAAATGCAATTTTGCAATTTTAATCCTCGTCGCCAAATGTTCCGTGGTAAATAACCACGTCTGCACGCCTCAATATCCCGCGTCGAACTAACTCGAACTCCGACTCTCGTCCACACGAACTCCGATATATCGGAAACCTTGAATACCCCGAAACCGTGATACCCGTCCCGAACAGACTCATCTTATGGCGAAGCACACTTGAAAGACGTTGCGGAATGCGACAACGCCTTGTAACGGAGGACGATTACTATAACAACAATGACGTCAGATATTTTGGTCTTTAAATGCATCAGTAAATGATTCTGTTTCCAAAGGAAATTTTCGCATTGTTGAAGCATGATTTCCTATAACGTCGTTCCATCCTGAGAATTTTAAATGATAAAACTTTATTGACACTTAACCTACATTATTAGTAACAAGTTTAAAATTACACAAATGATCTCTAAATTCATCGATAACCGTTTTGTAAAGATTTTGAGTTTTAAATAATTTTTCTTGTTGTCCTTAGGTGATGCTCCTTGGTTCTGATGTTGGCTGCAGAGGATTTGGATAACTGAATGGAAGCATTGCAATTCATGCATTCTGATGTAAGTATCTTGATCTCGTTTCATGTGACTATCAATTATCGTTCCGTTTATTTAACATGTTGAATCGACAATATTTCATAATTTCACTTTCGTGTTCTTTCATAAACCTTAAACTTGACTTTATTTACCTTTTGTTGGAACTTCCAAATCTTGAGACCTTAATTATGAGCAAAAGAACATTCGATAGCTTCAAGTTTGTTTCCCAATTTAAAATATTTAGAAATTCCTTACACTCATGAAAAATTTATGTTGGCGATTTGCATCTCTCAGTGCATTTAGCAACTTTTTTCGGGAAACTTAACAATCTAAATGTGAAGAAATAGAAATTACTAATTACGAAGATTGTGATGAATTTTATGAAATCTTAAGTGATAATGAATTACAAACTTTGAATCTCATTCATCATTAATCTGAAACAATTCTCATTCATTTCAATTATTTCAACAAAGACTGAAAAGAATAAAAAATATTTGTTAAACGTAAAATTATTTTAAAAAAGAATTTTTTTATTATTTTCATTGATTTTCTGTGACAAAATATCTGTTTTTGTGATTAAGAATTTATTTCATTAAGTACTTAATTCGTTTCGTCAATAACAAACATGGTTACTGGTATACGCTTTAAGTTGGAAAATAATTTTATCTCTAATTTCACTTGTGCAACTTTTCTGTCAAAGCTCGTTCTAAAATATGATCTTCTGATCTACCTTCTAAGGTCATCATCATCATCATCATCAGTAATGGGTAGAACGAACTGTTCTCAGCAAGTTTCAAACTTGCCCGTCATGAG